CACCAATCAACGGGGCGGGAGGGGGGCGGGAGGAAACGGCGCGGGAAGAAAGCAAGCGAGAAGAGACCGACCGCGTGACGTGACATGTTGCGGTTGAATTTCAGCGACTAGTTTTTCTGTTGCCCTCTCCCCCGTTTGCTGTCGCGTTCAGACTGTCTCTACGGATATCCCTGTCTCCGTGCGAGTTTGTTTATGTCCTCGTCTGTCTTTGGTTTATTTCGTTTTTGTTTTGTTTTTTTACTGGCACGTACTGTTGACCCTTGGGGTCCTTCCGGAAGGCTACCCCCCAGGCTGGTGGTGCGCACGTTCCACTATTTATTTATTAATTTGCTTCTGATTCTTTTTTTTTTTCTTGTATTTTATCGCTCTGCTAACCCTTGGGGTCCATTTTATTTTGGTATACCTTTTCTAGGTACGTTAGCCTGTGACCACGGAAATTGACCGAGTCAAGTGCTGGATTAGTACGGAGAGATTGAGACAGAAGGAGGTACTGGATAGAGAGACCGGGGTGGTTTTTATGTGAAGACAACAACACAACAACAACAACATAGCGTTATTGGTTGTGCGCTTCGCCACACCAGTACAGTCGTCCCCGCTTTAAAGACACCATTTTTAAAGACATTCCCCGCTTTAAGGACAGAAATAATCTCAAAAACATGCTGTCCCGCAGATGCGAAGTAGGGGGGTTAGGGTTTTCCACCATTCGACCCCCCCCCAGAAAATGTGCTGCAGCACCTGCAGATCCTGGATCATCAACAGCGGTCTGCTGCAGCCGCACACTGCGTGTGGGTGTGTGGAAAGATGCATTCCATCTGCTAGCGGTTCGTCTGCTGCCGGCTTGAAGCCATGCGGCGAACCGACGTGACGTTCGAATCTGCACTGGTGTCACTGGTTCATCAGTGTCCGTGCGTGTAGTTTTTGGTTTCGAGAGCAAACAAAGCACTTTTTTTTTAATTGCCAACGTTCGTTGTTTGCATAGGTGAAGTCTCGTGAGGTTGAATTTGGCGTTTGTGTCGTGTTGTGCCTCGTTTTGACCTTTTGGGAGGCGCGGTGTCCTCTTTGTCGCTGTGCTTTCCCGACATTTTTGTCTCTGTGTTTCTGCGTGATCTACATTGTCCTAGTGTTGTTTTACAACGTTCGATATTTCTCAGGTGCGGTGGCGAGATCTTGGGCAAGATCTAATCACGGGGAGGACAACGCCAAAAAATATAATAATGCAAATAATTAAGCCCATACCAACACCAGCGCACTACCGTCGTGTACATGTTCGACGCGTAGGTCGTAGAACACCATCGCTTTCAGCGTTTTGGTGGTACAGTACAGGGAAATTCAAACGATGCTATGCAAGTAAGTATGTATGGCAGCACAATAAATCAATAAATAGCAGCAGCAGCAGTGGTTGCGACCTTCAAACCACCTTGTGTCGTAGGTTCAAACAACACCTCTTGTGGTCGCCTTTCTGCTGCGAATGCGCACCTTTTGACATATGTTTCGCCTTCATTGGCCCCGAGGATGGTGTGTTAGTGGCCCCGGAATATTGAANCCATCGCTTTCAGCGTTTTGGTGGTACAGTACAGGGAAATTCAAACGATGCTATGCAAGTAAGTATGTATGGCAGCACAATAAATCAATAAATAGCAGCAGCAGCAGTGGTTGCGACCTTCAAACCACCTTGTGTCGTAGGTTCAAACAACACCTCTTGTGGTCGCCTTTCTGCTGCGAATGCGCACCTTTTGACATATGTTTCGCCTTCATTGGCCCCGAGGATGGTGTGTTAGTGGCCCCGGAATATTGAAGACACTTCCCCGCGTTCAAGACACTTTTTTGGGGGGAAAACGTGGTGTGTCTTTAAAGCGGGGTCAACTGTATGTACTGGGGTATAAACGCGCCGTGGTACAGTTAGCGCCAGCACTAAAGAAATATTTTAAAAAGAAATTCAGGCTCACTTTTCCACGAAAAATAAGAAAATCGGGTTAAGAAACATAGCTCAATCTGGGTCTCCCACTAAGAAATATCTCAACAAGAAACAGGGGCGACCGCTGCCCTATTACATAAGAAACGAGGGGCTACTACGGGGGAGTGTGTCGAGTAAGCAATACCCCACAGCTCCTCCTATCTCTCGCTCTTTCCCCCCTCTCCCACTACCCCACCGCCTTCCCATAGTTAGTGCATTATTGGTTGTAAGAAGGGGGGGGTATTCGTTTTTTTGCGGCGCCCCCTCCGGCCGCCGGCCGGCTCTGGCGCTCTCTGGCGCTCCGGCTCTGGCACAGCACACCAGACAGCGCTGCGAACAACGATATGCTCTCTGTTGCACGGTGTTGATGGCGCTCTCCGCCAGTTCTAGTGAGGGCAAATCATTCGTTTAATTTCAACGTTATGTAATGTATGTAGTAAGCAAGCAGAGAAAGTATGAAATTGCCGATGTATAAGAAATTGAGCAGGAGTTTTTTTGGCGGCACGAAAAAATAAGAAACTCGACATGAGAAATTGAACGACATACGCTGAGTATAAAGTCCACAATAAGAAATTGAGGCTGGACCTGATATAAGCGTTTCTTAAGTGCGGACTCTAAGTGTATCCTGGTGTCCGCCCGCTACGAAATCAGAACCAAGTTCACCTCTGTCGGAGTCGGGAGGGGTTCTACAAATAGTTGGTTGGATGCTCATCTGTCTCCACTCGTTATCCCCGCACACCCACAACATGTTGTTCGAAAGACCCCGTGTGGGAAGATGGACTATTATTGTTGATCTACGGATTGCGCCGGTGGCCATCAGTCGTGGGAGGGGCACATAGGCTACATCACGCGAGTACAGCAGTAGAACAAATTCAAACTAATTTCAAGATAAGTGAGAACTCTCAAAACAAATTCCAATTTAGACTATGCTGTTGTGTTGTGTTGTCGTCACAACACAACAACGTATTGTAGGCTAAGTTGAAACTGTCTTAAGAGAAGATGGCCATCGTTCTCAGGTTCATTCATTTGCTCTGGGTACCAGATACTTCGTTTTATGTATGGTAGACAACCACGCTCTGTCGGCGAGTGTCTCCTGCAGAAGTCTATCATACTCTTCTTCTAAAAGCGCGAGTAGACTTAGCTCCAGCAAGCCAACCACCTGCATAAGTTTTGCAAGGAGAGTTGACCAAAATGACGCTGTGGGTGCTACAGATATAATATATATCCAGACATCGTAGGGTGCGTCACAGCAAAAAATGCGAACAGTTAAGCAGTCCTTAGGTTTGACCTTAATGATCTGCAAACAGGGCAATGGGCGCTAAGTGTGCCTGGCGCTCTGCAACATGACATAGACTATAGCTTTATTTCCGTGGATGTCGCCCTAAAGAGGATACCAATGTTCGGCACGAACAGCAGATGCTCTCACGCATACCAGATTATTTCAAAACGTTACCGAGACTTTTTCTGGCAATGGTGTAAGCAGACGTGCAAAGTCGATGCTGAGACAGAAACAGCATGTTTGAATCCCCAACAACATTGGTTGTTCATAATAAACAATAAACGCCTGTTGTACACCCATCACATGAAACCCGCCATCAAGACAAGGGACAAAGGGTTGAAAAAAACATCACATCCATCCATCACAGAACATCACTGTGCGAACCCCAAAACTCAAGTACATTATGCCCTAGGCAAACATCAACACCGATCCGTACTCGGAACATGACTGCGTTGTGCACGAGAGCGCAAGAAGACAAGCCCGGAGTAGAAGAAACCTATGACTCCGACTGTCTTCAAGTCTATTAAAAGACCCCGGCCGCCCAGAGAGGCACACAACCAGAAACTCGCGCAACCCTCCCGTTGCTCTGAGCAAACGCGAGCCATAACTCGGCTAAGGTTCTCCAGCGCCAACGATCATGCGCCTGAAACGTCGGGAAAAGGAAGATTCCACTTCCCAGGTTTGGCTTCTTGTGCATCGTTGTGGCCTTGCACCAATTCACCGTACTGCGCCTGAAGAATGCGGGCAAAAGTACAGAGATGACGTGAACAGCAGAATCAATTGATGTATACTGTTGAAGATAACTAACATTTGACTAAGGCGTGCGTGCCTGTAGCGCAACAACGCTTTGGACAGAAGTGTGAAGCATGTCCGACGTCACCCCCCTTCCCACCCCTTCTCTCTCCACCCCGCCCCCTTGCTCTCTCCCTGCACCATTTTGTACTTATACAAACGGAGGACGTGCTGGTGGTTTTGCGATGTAGGCAGTATTGATGACCAAATGTTGGGAACAAACCTGATACCGCTCGTTCTTTCTTAAAGGTCATGACAAAAACATGAACGTGTTTGTTAATGTCGGGGAAGAGGATGGGTGGGCGAACCGTGATAGCGCGCTGCAGCGAGGGCGGGAGAAAGAGAAAGAGAGAGATTTCCTTGCTTGCACACTACAGTTCATTCGTCACTGAAGTGTTGTGCAGTGTTTTGTTGTGTCTTTACGGGTGTTCTTGGGTGGATGCGAGTGAGGTTGTCATGGTAAAATAGTCATGTGGGGTTGGGACACATCAAGTCAGAGTTTCGGCGACAGGTGTCTACACCAGGAAGCAAGGGGCACGGGGATCTATTCGCCCGAGTTCTGTCTAAATAAACAACCGCCTTTTTTTGAGGTACCAACATTCCAACGCGATGTGAGGCGCAGATCGCCCCAGAGTGGTACAGAGCCGCAGTTGATTTGTTTCCTCGTGCTTTTCTAGCGAATCGATTCAATTCTCTCAAGAGTACGAAGTAAGGGAAAAGGAAAAACAGGTCGCTCGAACTCTGTCCTCGTGCGTTGTGAGATGCGTTTGCCTGAGCCTATAAAATTGTTTCATGAGATCGTTTTCGAACGCACCTCGAAAAAGGAATAACAGTTCGGTGGTGACACGCCATCTTGTCTCTCAAACAGAAATTCTCATTCGCCAGATACGTACTACAGCTCTGCCTAACAGGATTTAGTAGGTTTCGCCAATTGCTCGGCGAAATCGAACAATAACCTGTTGGTTTCAAATGGATATGAAAGTGTCGATGCAAGACAACAGCTGGGGACAACAAGGGCGGTCTGGATCGATCTGCTAGAAGCAGGGCGAACGAAAAAAAAACGGCGACTCTGAGTACTGGCATCTACTGTAGTGTCGTACTTGGAACTCGGCAAGAAATACGGACCTCGTACATCTTGTCCCCTACACCCAGTTCTAGCTCCACTCCAGGTCCAGCCACGGTCGAAGAGCACGTTAGCACAAAGCCCCTCGCAGAAATTTCCGGGTCCAGTACTGCCGCCTCTAGCTTGACATTGTCAAGATTGGCTGTAACCATGGCTGCACACCTAGCGAACGAATTTGTTGTAAGAAGCCGTGTGAGCATGACGTTGTGCTCCAACCGGCAGGTAGTTATCCAGTGAGCAAAGCGCGACATGGTCTATAAGTAACGTGAGATCATCGTTGTTAACGCACTCATTTGGGAGTCGAACAAGTTTCCGGCGGATATTCCACAACACTGGCACAATCTTTGTCACTGGGACAGCCCGCTGTCCCGGCCAGGTTTGAAGCTCAGTTTTGCGAGTCTAGCAAAACGCTAGCATAAAAACGTGGTTGACAAGCCACGCGCTTTTCACCCCTGGTCTAACCCTGTAAACTACATGGTACAATCAACAGCCATTATGCGAAGGATTCAATATCGTCGCAACTCTAATGTTATGTATTGCAAACTGCTTGCATGAACCACACAGCAATTCCTTCTTTCCGAGACGGTGACCATACTGCCTGCGTTTCCCCCGTAGCCCATGTCATGTTTGCCTTACGTCACCCCTTTGAGCTCCTGCGAGCACTAATTTTTGTTGCTCTCCCGTAGCTTGCGTCTTCTACTGTTGACCCCCGTAGCTCACGACATCTACTGTCGACGCCCCCGTTTTAAGCTTTTGAGAGTGCTATTGACCTTTGGTCTTGTCCACCCCCCCTATTTTTCTAGTTTTGTAAATCTCAGCGTCCACTCCGACAATCGCCGCCCGTTTGTCGCCCCCCATTTTTATTGGACCGCAAGCGGAGCACCGTACTTATTGGCTCTTGCTTTCTAGCCCGCTCCCGCTGTGCCGCTATCTCTGAGTATTTTCGCTTCTTCTGCTTTTTCGTATTAGGTTGAGCATCTTTTTGTGCTTTTCTTGCTTATTCGAGACTATCCTGGCGTCACACTGTCGTTGTTCGTGGCCCTCTTGCAATCGATAGACCCCCCGACTTTTCTCCCTTTATTTGCCTGCTTATGTAGCTCTGCCCTTGATTTTAGTTTCGGACGTTTTCCGCACTTCTTTGCTCAGCTTTCATAGCCACTGTCAGCCTACACGCTGCTTGCCCCAGTTTCCCCTTGATTCAATTCTGGCATTTTGCTAGCACAGAGCGTAGCTCTCTTGAAATCCACGTAGGGGTGTGGGAGAGGTTTCTGGGGCTCCGTACCCTCGAGTCTAGAGTTGATGCCTCAGATGGGTTGTTATTTCCCCCTCTTCATGTTCTAGCCTCTGCGTATATATCCCCTCAGGGTGGGCTTGTGTTATGGTATTTGGAACCTTGGACTAAGATACTATCTTAGCGGGTACATCTTTCAAGAATATCCCGACCACCTGCCCAGATTCCTAGTATTCCGACTCTAGGCAGGTAGCGGTGCAATGGTTGATAGCGGTAGCAGCCGATGTGCAAGCGTTCCACCTTGCTCAGTGTTGCCCGGTGTTCCCTGGTGTTCCCTGGGAGTGAGCGATAGCAAGCGAGTGAGAGAGAAAGGAGCGATAAGGAAGGAAACGGACTGACGAAGCGAAGCGGCTCCAACCTGAATCAGAGATCGTCACATCTCGTCACAGCGGATGTAGCCGAAACTATGTAATGACAAAAACGTAGGAATTAGGCTGCCCGGTTGCGAGATAGTAGCATGACATCCCGTATTATATCAAATGGAGACCATTACTTGAATCACAACCTCAAAAGCGTCAACAGGCGTCCGCGAGAAACAGACACACGCGGCGTGTTTCGTTCAGGTCGGGCATGGTGTACAGTACATCAACCTCGGTGCAGCTTCAGATTGGCAACAAATGAAGGAAATGTTGGGGCTTGATGGAGGCCAAGCCACATGAACCCCGCGGCTCTAGATGACATGCTGCCGTCGGTGAGTTCTGCACACACTTCGTGGCATTGCTGGAACCTATCAATATCATACTACGCGTACGTAGTCGTCGCGTAGCTACTGCTGTACAACACCGCGCATTTGCTGCTGTGTGAACCAGCAACGTGGATTGAGTGAACACCACACACACTTACTCGGTGCACAGGCCAGAACGGCAAGAGTGAGGGGCGTCGATGTCATGCGCTTCAAGGCCGTCCAGGATCGAAACGCCTTCCTCTAATGCCACTGTCCGTACCACGCCTTCAACGGTGACCTTGACGTCATTGGCAGCACGCAGGCGGCTGCTGGACATCCTAGCGCGCCTACATGTAGAAACAGCAGGAGCAGGAAACACAAACCCTGACGTCAAGTCAAGCATGCAGAGTCCACCGATTGCGATGTGTGCAACCCTCATCTCCAAGCCAGGTGTACAACGTGCAACGATTCGCCCTCTCTGGTCGCTGACCGTCTCTGTGCGACACCAACACATGCTTGCATACATGACCGAATCTCCCGCTGAGACTACGCCTCGTTACAAATTGTTATCCAGGGGTCCAATGAGGAATAGGGTCGGGGGGTGGGGGGGCTCAACCGGCGTGCGGCGTGCATGTGTGTACTGCCATGTACTGCTGTGCAGGAAGCTGGCTGGCAGTCTATACCGCTGCTCGTCACTGGCGAAGGGGCCAGCGCTCGAGGCGTACTGCAGTTTCTGTATGCACTAGAGACTCGGATATCTACCGCTGCTGTTGTTGCCCCTGGAACTCAAACGGGAATTGTGGTTGTCTTTTGTCGTCACCAACCAACGGCCGGTGAACTGATCATGAGAGCCGCTTCTCCGCTGGCGTTGACGCCCCTGCTCCTAGTGGCATCATTAGCGAGCGTGGCAGACGGGTCCTTGGGAGTAAATACTGCCGGAACAAGACCGCCAGCGATCAGTTCAGTGAGTTGTATCAAATATGACACTTCACTGAACTGATGTGTAAGTGATCGGTGTATGGGCGCCTTTAGCACAGGCCAAAGAAGCTTACGGGTAACCTGCGGTTGTGCAAGTTGTCCGCGCGTAGATACGTCATAGACCGGCCGCTGCCGCTGCTGCGCGCTGTACTTACCGAGAATGTTCATTTTGTCGTCTTGACCACGCCTTCCGGATACACTGCTAGGGTTGCTGGTGTGTGTGTTATTACCCCGACATTTATCGATAGCAGTTCGGTGTTGTCGGTGTTTACACACCAGTGCCGAGCACACGGCTTCGATAGAGTGGGACACGTGTCGTTTTCAAGGATGCTTCACCAAACCTACGGGAAGCAAGTGTATCTACCTGGGTCCATTCGGTATGATGGCGGTAGTGTTGCTGAGAGGTACCACAGTATTAGTGCTCTACATTCACCATCCTGTTGCTGCCTTATCGATGGGCCAACGAGAAGAATTATCGTGTGATGCATACAGCAGTAGGTGTGAGGGCGTTCTGCTTCCAGCCTTCGTGAGAGAAACGTGCGCAACAGGTGCGTGGCCACTGCTGTACTGTGGAGTGTATGCACACAGTTCAACGCAGAACGGCCGATGAGCCAAAGAGCAGCAGGCGTAGTCTTCAGGGACTCATGTGTGTTGCTTCATGTCTCGTGGGTTCCAGCTTGTCTGCTGCTACCATGTACCGACAGGCATTAGCGAAAGTTCTGATTGATCCTTGAACACATCAGGAGTTGGTCAACGCATCCGTCGATGGACACGCCAGGCTTTGTCCCTTTTCTGTTGGCGTCTTAACTCTCCTTGTACTGGAAGCCCAAATGAAGGCACTTTGGGGACACAGCACTAAAATCCCTATTTACCTCACTGTAGCCACTCTAGCTCCGCTGTGTTTAACGCACGGAGAACCCTTGGTTTATCATGCTTGGCTGAGGTCGTACGCCGTGTGACATGCTTTGTGATGCCTGTCCTGCGCCTCTGACTTGCTGCACACATCTCCCAACCCGCGTGCCCCCTAGGTCGTAAAACTGTACATCGCCTGGTACTGGAAAATTGCTGACTTGGCTTCAGTATGAAAAGTGTCCCCACGTGTTTTGGAGACACTTTGAAGTCAATTCACCCTTCTTCTGGCAAGGAGCTCAGATTCTTGAGAGGACTGTAGCCCCGACCAATGGCTTGACAACCATTTTTGAGAGATATTTTTTGCGGAGGGAGTGGGTGCTTGGAGGGTCAACGCGTACGGCCATGCGCTGTTTGCCGAACAACAGTAAACGCACCTCTCCCCCGCCGATGCTCGACCTTCTCTCGCTTGTGCCTGTAGGTGTGGACACGGCGGCGCGATTCACACCCATCCAGAGTGGGTTTGCATAGGAAGCACTTGTCCTTGGACCTGGTGAGTTGGTCAAGGTATTTGTTTGCGCAGCGTTGCGTTCGTATTGGGCAATGTGAGAACCGATTCTAGTGAACCTCTGGGTTGAAGCATGTTGCTAACTCCACGCAATCGTTTTTTTACGACACGAAGTTGTCGGCTTGGGCTCGAAGGGCATGTACCCTCTGAGAGGTAGTACGTAGTTCCTCCGACCGTCCTTGATGTTTGTTAGGAAATCTTGGGGATACATGACGAGGGGTCACACTAAGACCACCAGTTCGAGATGAGGGGATATGTTGAGGACTTTAGTTGGAGTGAGGATTTGTTTTGTTTTTGCAGGTGGCGCGGCTGAGGGGAGGGGTGAAACGTGCTACGCTGAAAGCAGACGAGGACGATGACGCCGATGAGAACGCCGACGTCGACACAGGACCCGGGGCTCTATCGGCTCTAACAGGGGTCTTCAAAAATGTAAGGCTGCATCGATTATTGCGAAGAATACGAGTCAGCATCAAACCCCCTCTATTTTTTTGTTTGCACATTATGTTGTTGTTATTGGGTGTTTCCTTCGATTGTGTTTGCCCCCAAGGCACGGACGACGTGTTTGTTTCCACTTAGGCGCTAGTTGGTTCCGACTCAGGCGGCACGGTCTCCCCTATGTTGTGCGCGCTCTTCACTGCACTCCATCGCACTGCAGATGCCACCGGCAACCCGAGCTTACGTCCTTTTGCTGATGGTCATCACCGCGGTGGACGTATCCGTCGGTAAGGCCATCGACTCGGGCAACACCTTTTCCATGGATTGGGGAAGAACTGTGAAGGTGACTTGGGGACTCCCATTGGATCGGAATCGGATATGAACGTTGGTCACCGAGATTTGTGTCGGGTGTATTCAACCCAACCCGGTTCGCTCGGCTTTCGGTTAAAGACTTAGCTTAAACTCGAGAAATACAGACGTATGAAGTACATCATCATCATGGGGCTCTTGCCTAATGTATGGATATGTTGCGGGCTTTCGCCACTCTCTGCTTGAAGCAAGCGGGGGCATACCACCTTAGGGTACCCATTTCAAGGCTATCGTTGTCAGTGATAAGAAACAAGCTTTTGGGGTCGTCAATGAACCGTTCTCATGGTACCGTTGCCACGGCGTGTCGACGCTCCGTGGAAAATCGACCAACTCACCTTGTTTGTCCCCCTCTTACATTGTCCCTTGAAGGGATTGGAGCTGTGGCGGCCTCTCACGTCGCTCGTCTACCTCGGGCCTCTGTCGATGAACTGGCTGACGAACGTGTACTTCCTGACGCAACACGGCACTCGGTTGGAACTGGTTAGCGGGACAGCGGAGCAAGTCATATTCCTCCTCGTCGTGGTGAGAAATTCAATGTTGCCCCCAAGGATGAAGCGTCAGATGGTTTGACAAGGCTGCGCGCACTGATTGCCTGTGTAAGCTTGGAGCATATGGCGCCTTGGACTATTGTACGATGTACATATTTAGGAGGCTCATCCTAGGTATCAATATTATGACGGCGGCGCATCCTTCCCGTACTTATCATCGGGAGAGGATGTGTTGTTCGTGGTCAGGTTTACAAAGTTGTACTCATTCGCATGACGTCCAACGGTAGTGTAACCCAAGTATGCTTTGAACCCCAGCTCAGATGAGAATGCCCTCATCACGCGAAACACACGCCGGTCTTGATCAGTCGTTCGAGAATCCGTTCAGCTTGTCCGATGGACCTATGCATATCTCACTCGGCCCTGAACACCGTTGGTGAGCATTCCTAGCGGGACATAACCTCCTCGATGGTGCTGCTGCCGGTGTGTTGACAATTCAAGGGCTCGTTGCTGCTGTTCTTGGGGCCATTGATTGGCATGCCGTTGTTGTCCACCTCCATGGTGGCTGCGCATACGTACGTGTCTGCGAGGTGAGCCAGTCCAGTCCTGCCAGCAGAAAAAAAATTTCGGGATTCGTTAAGAACAGTACTGCATTTTGCTTTTGTAGCTTTGAAGTACATGCGCAAATATTTTCTTACATCATTTCAGTGAGAAGGGGGCGGGGTAGGTGTCGATGTTGTGGCTGTGGGGGTATTTTGGAGGTAGACGTGCTCGAGCGCACGAGGTGCAGAGTCCTCATTTGTGCGCAACATATGATCCATGCGCGCTGATGGTCTAGAGCCGCATCGCTGCCACCCTTCTCTGCATTTTCCGTGTCTTCGTGCCTTATCATCCTCGCTTTGATTCATTGCGGTAGATGGGTTACCAATCGGAACATTGTGGGCTGCTGCAGTTCCCGTTGCTGTACGATTAATAGTGTTTGGACATCACCGTCATATCTCGCCTGGTTATTTCTTCTTTTTTTTCTTTTCTCAGGATGGATCCTTTGGGGGCCGTGCAGTTCCAGTTCCTCAGGATTCCCATGTGGACGCTGCCGTTCGCGCAAATGGGAGGTGAGACATGCGGCAGTCGTGCCGACGGCTATCATGCTTGTCGTGACGATGGTCGGACTCAACGAGTCGATTCCTCACATCCGTGAAATGACGTCTACTCCAACAAATTTTTGGTGCGGTAGAAAAGGAGGGTTACACAACTGGAATGGCTTTGCATCCGGTAATGGCCGTCATGGACGTGGGGCAACTTTTGACAAGATTTGCGACAGTATAGCAGTGGAATATTGAAGGCACGCGCGGGTAACAACTGTGTGCATTGTTGGGGTCCATACGTAATTCTATGCTTCGGAAACCCGGTGCGGGATCCAAGATCAGCACAGAACCATTCCTTGATTTTCAGTTCTTTGTTCGGAACCTACAATCTCTGGTAGCAGTTCTGTGGCTTGTTTGTAGAATACGTGCCCAGTTTTTAACGGAAACCCTTGGGTGCTGCAATGTTTGTCGTGTACGTGTATGCACCAACAGCCGCCGTGCTCCAAGCGGAGGGGAGCCCGTTGGCCGCCATTCCTCATTTCGTGGGGATCTTGTGCGGTCACGTGTACCACTTCTTCACTGTGGTGCATCCGCTGATGGGGGCTAAGCGTCGTCTGGGAGCTCCAGGGTGGATGAAGAGGCGCTTGGACGGCGGGGACAACCCTAACTTCATGGAGACGCCAGATGAGCCCGCAGCACCACGGGGACGGAAAATTGGCGCCGGCAAAAAGGCGGCCAGCAAGAGCAAGACCAGAGGGACCTCCAAATCGGGATCGAGCGGCAGCAAGAGGGGTAGCGGTAAAGCTAGACCAGTACCAGACTTCCCTACAGCCGAGGGGGGCTGTTCGTAGAAGAGGACGACAGGGTGTCAACCACGTTAGACCAAGCAATTGCGAAAAAATATATATCCATGGTTTTGCGTAGAGGCGTTTATGTATGGAACAAGAATCTCAGCTCGACGTTGGCATTTTTCGTGCTATTTCCACGGCGTAGTGTGGTCCTGTAGTCCGCACGCCGGGTCATAGAAGGCCGCGAAAAATCTTGGCGAGCCACGTATGTCTACGTCTGTCTGTGTTTTTCTTGGTGCATGTCACGTATATTGCCGTGACTATCATAGAAGAGTTAATGTGCACTCCACCAAAGCGTCTCTCGGAACGCTCAGCATCGCCGAAGAGAAATGCCCACACCGCATTTGCAAGAGCACCTGAAACTCTTCAGCTGATATTTTTTAGCGCGATTTTCGAACTCAAAAACGGGCTGGTTGCTGGGAAAAACGATGACAGGGTGCTTCCATCCGTCAGCACGCAGTGAGCATCGATATCCGACAGGCCGAACAAGAGGAACCCATCGTCCAGGGAGACGCAGATCTCCGTCAAGCCAATAGCGGTTACAAGCATAGATTATTTTCCTACTTTTCCGCGAGAAGCACACTCTAACGCACAACATTCTACACGCTACGTGCACATGATCACGAGTCCAAGAGCTTTCTTTGCTCTTCCTTGAAGTCCTCCTCCTCTTGCTCCAAGGTTCTGTGGAACATTCCACCACCCTCGGGCTGAGATTTCTCGTAGGCCGACCCGAGATACTCCTTCTCGTCCTTGGTCTCCGCCTCGTATTTGAGCAGCTCTTCGCGGGGGTCCTGGGGTCAGCAGCAGTGTTAACCGAGCAGTGTCAGGGGTTGTAGTGATGTACCAAAGGAAACGAGCCACCGAACGTTTACAGCAACCAGAACTACCCAGTCAAGACGGAATATTCACAACGCTGTACTATTGGTGTCCATTTTGTCGACCTTGATCAAGACAGTTCCACGAGATACCGCGTGCCTACTGCTTGCCCCGCGTGGAAGCTGTATGCCTCGAAGAGCACCCAACGTAGCGCAAACAAGCAAATGATGACCGAAGACTTCCCTGGCTCAGCTCTTCCACTACGTTGCACTCATGCCCAGAATCGCCGGGCGGGGGTTTGAAGTTCCAGCGAGAAGGATGGAACCGCGATCGTACCTCGTGAAGCAGGTTCTTCTGAGAGACAAGATGTTCCTTGAGGACGTACTGGTGGAAATTATTGGACGAGCTGATGCGTCCCTGCACGCCGCGGCCGGGCATCTGAATCAAGAAGAACAAAAAAAATATCGCGGGCGCACACGAGGGATGAGCCAAGGGGTTGTCGAGGGCGATAGTAACACGGGTAGTATCGAGTGATTGCACACGCTTATGCATGGATACCACTTGTCGGTGCGCACCCTCGTGCACCGCGAAGGCGAAGCTGGAGTGTTCGGTAGAGCTTGGATATAGGAAGCCGAAGGCAAAATGTCATAGAATATTCCAGAATGATCCTGAAAAACGAGAGGGAGGGCTCTCTCCCGCGTCGACACTGCTGTTGGACGAACTCTCATGCTTGAGCCCTTTCCAGCCGCATGCCTTCATCCGGTCGCCCCGGTGGTCTAGTGGGTAACCTCGCAGCCTGCTAAGGGTCAGGTCATGAGTTCGAGTCCCGGCAGAGTGAGTTTTTTTCTCACTAAATACATCCTGGTCGAGGATGAAAGCGACGCGCTGCAAAGCTCGTTGTTAGTAAACCATAATCGACTTCGCAAGTCGCGAGGGAAGGGATTGCCGTACCCTTCTCGCGATGTTAGTAAACCATAATCGACTTCATAAGTCGCGAGGGAAGGGATTGCTGTACCCGTCTCGCGATAAAAATACCTCAGGCAGGAACCGCAGGAGGGGGTCCAGCCCCCCCCTCCTACGTGACCCCGGTTGGGTCGTCTAGCTGGTAGCAGTGGAGGATAGGGGCCAGAGGGGCAGACGACAGAGTCCAATGATGGGAGAAGAAAAAAATAAAATAATACAGCAACCGAAGTTACCCAAGTCTCATCAACAACTGACTTCCGCACACCAAGCAAGGCAGCAAACCTCAATCGGGACCCGACCATGAACCAGAAGCAAGCCGAGGGTTGTTGTCTCTCCTCTCTCACCGGAGGATCGGGTTTCTTGCTTCGAACGGGGTCCTTCCTGTCGCTCCTTTCCTTCCGCTTCTTGGAGTTCTGCTCCTCGCGAAACATGGGGAGCGCGTGCGGAGCGTACACCTCTCCCACCTGAGCCGATAGCGCAAAACCACAAGCAATACAGTACAGGAGAGACTCAGCGAGCACGAACGAAGGACGGGCTGGATGACATATGGATGCTACCTGATCAGAACTGCTCCATCCCTGCATCACGCGCGGAGAAGAGGGCGAACCGTGACGGACAGTTCCTGAGACGTCGGGCGTGATCAGCGGCATGGTGGATTATATTCTAAGACAACAATTTTGCACAACACAGCCAAACCACACCATACGAATAGGGCGATGCAGGCCATATTAATGTGAACTACAAAGCAAGAAGCATGTTCAGAAACATATGAGCGCCCCCTTGAAAGGAAACGCAAAAACAAGCGTGGGGAATGAGGCTTAACGCAACAATAATTGCTACACATACAGTACAGCATCGCACCGCATGCTTCGGCAGGAACATGTTGGTGTTGAGCCGGCTGTGAGACCTTCCTGCCGAGAGCATCGCCCCCTTGTCACTGATGGCAGGGTCGTACATAACCCGCACACCCCCCGCGGACGTGCTACAAATAACCTGATTGGTCTGCGCATGCCAAACCACGCGCGCCACGCTGGCTTCCGGAGCAGCGTTAACCTCTGCGGATGAAAACAGCATCGACATCACGTAAGGTGGAGTTAGCCGCACACATTGCCAAACGTATGCGGAGCGATGGGGGGGGGGTGGGTACTCATAGTCGTGCATGCCGTAGTCGTTAGACCATTGACCTCGCACACGGGACAACGGGAGGGGGAAAATCGCACATGTGTCTTGATCCTGCGGCTTGTACACAAGAATTTGTTGGTACAGCACAAAGAGTAGTGCAAACGCATGACTTGCGGCATCAACTTCGATTCGGACTCAAACTTCACTGTGGTAGCGCTGGTGTACGTCGTATCCGCTTCAACTCGACGCGACAACGCGAAAGAGCGATGGACGCACACGCCTCTTGGTTTGAACAAACAACACAAAACTACGTTATGGTGGAACGCGAGTGACGCGGCGGCAAACAACACACACGAAATAGCCCAACAGAAGATATGCTTGATTCATTCCCCTCTTCGTGTTATGCCCTGGAACACCGCTGTTTTGTACTCTGGGAAGTTCACATTGAACTACGCCAGAACGCGATGCGAATAGAAGAAGCAACAATAGCACGACACGCAATTCCTCTCACCAAGCTCCGGCTCGGCCTCTGCCGTGTATACATTGAAAAACTTGAGCACACCCGTGGCGTCCGACTTGGGCCGCACGTTGCTGCCGCAAACCAGCACTCGGCCGTCGGGACTGAACGACGTGTTGGCCGTTTCCTGGAAACGGTTACACGATGGGTGTATTTGCATACGAAGGAGGCGGATTGAATAGGCAGATGCAGAAGCAGAGACAGTAAGTAGAAATACCGGAGGACCACGGGCGGAGAAAAGGTGTGAACCGCTACATGTAGGGGCACATGCTCCGTAGGACACGAGGCCGACGTCCCCAAAACATATTAGATGCTCACTATTTTGGAATACAAGCGTTGCCAAGCTGTACCCTGCTCTAGCTGTGGTTGGCGAGTGGCGAGTGGCGGTGCCGGGGCCGCTGCGACACGGTCACGGGACGTCGGCTGAGCTTTGGGGCAGCAAACGCTTCTCGGGCATACTGAAACAGAAATCTTTGCCAATGAACCCCCTTGCAAGCGGATATATAGATCCATCAAGACATCCTTCGAAGCAGATGCGGTGTTCCCTAGCTACGGTCGCCGTGGCCGCCTGAGAGCGCCAAATTCGTCGATAGTGACAATTCCGGTACACATCGGCGAGAGCAATGTCGCCGCCGCTTAGCAAACCTACCAGGCGGGGTTAGCACTGTCAGTCCAGTGGTGTTTGTCCGGTCTTATCCATGGCAAAACAGCGCTCGAGCTTTTGCTCTTATACGGATATATATAGTCTTAGAGAGGGAAAGAGAGAGAAAACAAGATTGGTCTTAGAGTGGCACCGGCCGCACAACCACTGTCCTGTGTTGCCGCAGCATCCTTCTCACCGGGCAAACATTGTTGTATTGTACGATATTGCTCAACAAGCCACGACGAGTTAGGTGCATGGACCATGAACCATGAACCATGGGACATACCACTGAAGCAACTTAAACGGTTGCGAACACAAAGAGCACCGATTTCTCACCATGTGTGTCGGGACGTCGGGAAAAGTCTTCACCACTCCACCCCCAAGCTTTCTCATATCCCACAGCTTCACCGTATCGTCCATCGCTCTCGTCGCCAGCAGATGGCCGTCCTCGTTGAACGAGATCGACGTGAGCTCGCACCCCTGGGTTTTTGTTACGTGACAGGCAGATCGATACAAGCAGTGTGCCCTCATGGTCAATAAGGACCGAGTTGGACAAGACACGCCAACAACTCCGGGAATATCAAGGAATTCGTAGTCCATCGGCAGCTCATGATTGATAGCGCACAGTCTAGCTTTCTGAGGCAAAACTCGGCCAAAAACCTAAAAGTCCGATATTTGTTGAAAATAGCGGAGCTTGCTCTAGAACCAAGACGAAAGGGGCTGAGGAAGAGAAAGGCAGGCCAACGAAAAACAAACTTGAAGGCGTAACTTTCAACGAGGGCTATAACACAAGGAGGGCTGAGACCTAAATACCAATTTCGGACGCAATTTTGCACACCACCCCAAAATTGTATGCACAGCTCTCCTACGGTATCAAAGACAACAGCCAACCGTCAGGCGGAGGAGACCAACAATGCAACAAAAAAACATGTTCGTCATCCCTTACCTTGTGCGCCTCGCGAACGACGTCGTGCTTGACGTGAGGCCTATCCATATTAATGAGGTGCAGAGACCCATCTTCCCCGCCAGCGGCGATCCGTCTCCCCTCCTGGTGATAAACAGCAGCTGTGCACCCAAGCTTCAGCGCTCTGGCCGACCGTAGCTTGATCACCTTTGACAGCATGACAGCAATCACGTTCAGGTAGAGGCGCTCAACGCCACTGTCGCCAAGTTGTTCAATACGAGCAACACAAGGACTTGATTGATTCACTCTTCCGGTCAAGTCCTGTATGCGACGGCACAAACAACAAACACCAATCTGTCCTACTGTAACCAAAGCATCAACACGTCTTCGACGTTACGCGGAGTGCAGCGTGCTCTCACCGTTTGGTTGATGAGGTTGTCGAAGGCCAACTTCCCGGTGAGATTCCATATTCTCACTGTCCCGTCTACCGAGCAAGTCAACATCTCGTTCCGTTTCGTGGGGTGCCAATCCCCCCCTGTTACCCGCGTCACGTGGCCCTTTGTGCTCGCCATATTCTAAATTCACGGCGTGCGGAATGTGCAGCAAGGAACGCGAGGGAGTAGGAGGACATGCCGTGAGTCTCAGTAGGGGATGGTTTCGTCGAGAAGTATGCATACGATACTAGGGAGTCGGCGAAACAAACGTGCCGACCGATGGATATGAGAGACAGCCCTCTCCCGCACTCAACAACAACCATGTTCCAGATCACTATCATACCTACTACCATACCTACTACCTACTACCTACTACCTACTACCTACTACCTACTACCTAGTACGTAGTACGCCCCAGCGGACCTGCAGCGTGTCCCCAGCAAGAAGGTAAGACTTGCCTTGAAACATACCGCGCACGGCAGGAGCGTCGACGCTTGCAGTTGGTCACGGGGAAACCATGTCAAGGGAACGACAGGGGCGCCACACTGCCCTTGGCATACCAATTAACGCACGGAGAATGTGTGCTCGCGCTTCGATTCAAACCTTGAGGTACGGATCTCCCTTGACGAAGTGGGCGAGCTGGTTGCCGTCGCGGTCGTACACCTGCAAAAGCAGAAGCAAAAGCAAAAGCAAAAGCAAAAGCAAAAAAAAACATAACACAAGACACACGTGAGGGACAGCACAACATTAAAGCAGGCTATGAGATGGAACTACACTATGCACAACAACATGCTTCGTGAACAAGGTGCTGATCAATGACTTGACTAAGGTGCTGATCAATGACTTGACTAGACTGCGTGCACAACTTCGCTTACATCTCGGTACACATGGAGCATGGGCTAGCAAACAGCCCTCGAAACAGGCACTGCTGTGGCAGAGTGAGCAAGAGGAGGCTGCTCCCAAGAACCAAAGGGTCACGACGCCCCGAGCGGGTTGTCGCTGGAACAGACCACCCACCTTCGGCTGGCTCCCGGCGGTGCAAACAAGAAAGGCGTGTCCGGTGCCTGAGTAGCTGATGGACACCACCACATTGCCCTCCTCAGGCTCGATCTCTCGGAACGGCAGGTGGCGCTTGTCCATGCCACCGAAGTCAAAAAGCTTCACCTGATATCAAAGCCGGACCACAAACAAGCGTGGTTTGAGGCTTGGTGTGAGGCAGCTGACCGTTACAACGTCCTGGTCAGCACACTTGTCGCCCTATCGCGCCGCTTCTCAATAAGCCGAACGAGCTCGTGCGACGGATCCATCCTTCAGAGCAACAACAAGCACTGGAGCGATATCGCCAACACGGCCTTAGACTATTCAATCAACGATACTCCCATTGAATTCTGATCTAGTCAATCTAACACAATTGGATGCTTGTCTCGATTAACACATTTCGCGCTTCGCCCACAAAGATAGTGAGGTATCATTCGGTATCCCGGCACCTTGTAGTCGTTCGATCCCGTTGCCACACGTCCGCCCGCCCGATCCAAGGCCAACGCCGTGACGCCCTTGTGATGGCCACTCAGCTGTACTTCGTGCGACACAGGCAGTCCTAAGCGACGCACAACAAGCTTAATCCGCATCTCTTCCGTCATCTCCTCCTCCTCTTCCTCCTCCTCCTCCTCCT